TTTGTAAACAGACCGACACAAGACGAACTCGAGACAAATGTGTTGCAACCAATAATACGAGGATTCATTTTCTCTTATAATAAAGCAGCAGCAGCATCATCATCAGACATATACACTTTATTACATGTAATTATTTAAATATGTAAACAAGACGTGTTTTGAATAATCTAATTGGAACATTGTAATCTATTAAATTACAATAATATGGATTTTTTTGATTATTTGAACACACACTGGGGTTCAAATGTCGCCAAATGCATTTTTGAAAACGAAATTGTTTAAAAAAATGGTTCAGATGGGTTTTGTGATAACGAGTTATGTCGCTTTAGTTTAGAACATCCATGCTTTCACATATACGTGGGTGTTCAGACCCTTATATTTTCCGATTATTTGAACAATTTTTTAGTATAATAAGAGTATAATTTCGAAGCGGCAATAAGGTATTTTTTCCTCCGGGAAATGTAAGCGAAGTTTAAAAAAATTCACAATTTAATTTAAAACGAAATTCTGATCCGTAGCAGTTGTTGGGGCCTGACCATAGGATATGGATATCTTATTAGGACAATGTGGAATATAATTTTGAAACAGCAGTTGCCTATGGTATTGTATGTAATTTGTTACCAAGAGGGTATTTTTAACCTTTGAGAAATACCAAATTAGAGATGGTCAAGAACCATCAAGAAGAACCTGGAATCAAAAATAACAGCAACTTTGGTTGTTAAATATACCCAATAATTCCGATATATATACACAATTTTTTCTTGCGGAAATTTGTATTTCCGTAGATATGGTTCGTCAAATTTTTGGTCTCATGATTTATAATTTAAATGCTACCCATATTGATACAGTTAGCATTTTAAAGCGTTTCAAATTCAGATTAGAAAAATCTAGTTTCCTCATCGATGAAGTGTATACATGCAGATATATGGCCATCAAAATTGCGCGGGACCCTTAGATTAGGTTTGGGGATATACAGTCACTTATGTGGCTGCAGCACTCTGAGACCGTCAGGTCCACTGTGATCATTCACGAAAAGAAAAAGATATGGAGAGATCTTGGAGGGAGAAAAGAAGGGGGTATAGAGAGATGAAAAGTTTACAAGGAAGTTTGAGAAGGTAAGTATAAGATAGTATCTATGGCTATAGAGATTGGACGGAAGATATATTACGTGACAAGGTTGCACTTTCCCAACCACTTTAGGTTTAGGTTGTATGCTGTATAAACTAAGACTTTGTGGAAACTGAGCACCCACTAGTCTGTGCCGTCTGTAGGCCAGGACTGGGCAGCGACACAGGAGATGCTCAATTGCCTCCGTCTCCTCCTCGTCAACGCAGAGTATACAGTAATCCGTAGCATCATTATCCCATTTACTGGTAAAGCCCCTGATATTGCAATGGCCAGTAATGATTCCTGTCATTACACTCTTATTTCATCTTTGCTCAGGTTCAACAGTGTGTCCTTTTGGTAATTAGAGTCGGCCAAATAGATCTTGACACATTGCACCTATGTTCGTTATACCTAGGTTCGAAGAACGCTTCAAAGTTCCGATAAAAATGACATATGGGCGGTTTGATTGAGACATCAATTCCTAGATCTGTAGATTGAGATCCTCGTCTAGCTAATTTGTCTACTCTTTCGTTACCCATGATGTCACGGTGTCCTAGTACCCAACACAGCCGATAACTGTAAGTTCTTCCAAAACTGTGCTACACTTGAGGACGGCCTCAGATTTCTGTATGCAGACTTTTAATCAATTCCGCTTCTATCTTGGATCCGTCTGTATAGAAAGCCAAACCGTCCAGAGGAGGGTTACTCCGGTTCCAATCGTCTCTACTAGGAATAATGACATCTAGCGGGACTCTTATAACATCCTCCAAACACGAAATTATCTATTTTTAAACAAATCCACACTTTCTGTGTGGACAGCCTCACAGCCATTAGGCAGGCCATGGGTACCACCATTAACAAAGTATTATGATTTTGACTCTTTTTGGGGGAAGTACTAGATTGAGTAAACCGATTGGCCCCATCTTCGGACATGATCAATGTTTGGTAAAAGTATTACGATTCGGACAGTTTAGAACAAATCGGACATTCCATTCGATTCATATTGAATTAAAACAATTTTCAAAATGTTGACACTTTGTGGGGGAGGTATCAGCAGTAGTGAACCGATGGGTCCCATATCTTCTGGCTTTATCTATGATTGGTAAAAAATATTATGATGTGCAAAGTTTGGGTCAAATAGGGCATTGGATTAACAAATTATTAAGATTTTCACCCATTGTAGGGAAGGTACCACAACAAGTGGACCGATGGGTCCCATCTTCGAACATGATCAAGATTTGGTAAGTTTATTGCAATTTTTAATGTTTGGGTCAAATCGGACATTGAACTCGCGAAACCTTTTGGGGTTGGTAATGGGAGGATTGCGCCGATAAATCCAACCTTTTAAACAATATACAGGAGGCTTGGTGGTAAAAATATTAGGTTGTGTAAAGTTAGGTTCAAACTAATTTTCAGCAACATCTTGACCATTTTGTATGAGAAGTGGACAGATATTTCCCATCATTGAAATTGATTTTATATTGGAAGAAATGTGGCGATATGTAAAGTTCGATTATTCTATTCGAGTTAACGGACGCACCAACCTCCAAATAGTCTGAAACGGACTTGGCCAAAAGAAACAAGGGGTCTGAAAAATTAAAATTCAAAAAGTATGTTGGTTTTTTTAAACTCCAGTTCTCCAAAATTATCTCGTCGAATAAATGATCTAAAATTGAGGCATATAATAGTTGTACATTCGATTGAAACTGAAGACTTTGAATTTGGATACTGGAAAAACGTAACTACCTTATCATATCACACAATGTTTAAGACAGACAGACATACTTTGTTACACCTTAGCAGTTCGTTGGTATTAGATATTCAATATAGATTACACTGTTCGAGAGACAAGTGTTATTCTATTACACCTGACTGACTATAGCTGGACTTCTGTAAACAAGAAACAAGTATTAAGCATATAACCGATGACATCCACGACAAGTTTCCCAAAATATTTTCAGTTAGAAATCATTCAGTTAGTTTTAAACTTTCAGTTACTTATTATTCGAATACTCGATATTACGATTGACACTAAATACATAATCGCGTAGCATTAATACCGTTGTTCCATTCCTTTCATATACACAGCGGAGTTGGGCAGAGCAGCATATCTACACAGAAAATATAAAATGTCCATTGTCGAGGGGAAAAGTGAGACACACACAACCGCACAACAAAGAAAGGGGGAAACAAGACAAATTATGGAAAATTGATCCAATAAAAGTTTTCTGTTGTTGTTTGCAGGTTAAGACCAGTACTCCACTATATAGAAATGGAACACAATTTAGAACAAAACTTTAAATGGCAAATTTGAAACTTAAAATTTTACCTTTTTACCAAGAACGATTTTTTTCTATTATGAACTTCTCTGTGATTCCAACAAACCAACAACCACAGCAATTCAATAAACAAATACATACAATAAAAATCCACAACAATTCCATTACCCCACCCCTCTCCGAAACACAACACCTTGTAGACGAGGAGACGAACGAGACATTCCACACACCCAACAAAATATATCTTGTACGGACATGAAAGGGATTTTTTTCTTTGCCATTTTTCCACCTTAAATCACCTCGATTTTCAAAAAACTTCAATTACTTACCGCACAGAAGGATCTGTATTACAATTATTTATGTTTTATTTTATTGCTGAACACTTTTTAACTTGAAAAAATACAAATTTTCACTAGACAATCAACAAACGAGTTCGGACGAACACAAACGAATGAAACTACATTGAATTGAAACAAAAATGGCTGCTTCAATGGCATGGTGATGCCAGATCGTTAATAACAGCAGTCTATTTAATATATGTGTTTTGTTAATAGATGGCGCTACTGTTTCCCCCCAACTTTTTCCCAGTTTGTCAAATAACATTTTTTGAAGAAAAAAATAAATAAAATCGAAACTTGAAATAAAACGTTTTTGGAGAATATAAAATGAACACAATTATTGTTCTCTACTAGAACCTTCATGAATCATATGTTGTCAGATTATTATGACATTTGGTCTGTTCCCGTACTGCAAGAATCTACAACTTTTTACTACGATAACGAATATTCCTTTATGATTTCGCTGAAAATAGTAAAATCGAGTAGATTCTTGCAGTACGGGAACAGAAACATAATTCGAACATGAGATTCGACAAGACGACACGAAGAGAAGAAGAAAAATTGTCAACAATAATCGATAGTTGTCAAAAAACGCAAGTAATCGTTTGTTATCGACGGATTATTTATCGACAATTTTTTTTGTTTCACATTTCTAGTTTGTGTTTTTTTCTTACTAGCGGCTTTTTTTATCACATTTGGAGTCGTCTTCGTTTCGCGTTCATTCATCCCATTCATTGCAGTTGTTGTTTGGTTGTGGTTGGTATGTTTATAGGCCATTGTTATTGACGGCGGGCTGATCTTTTGGTGCTGCTCCGCTGGGGGAGATGTGAGAACGTTTTTTAGTTGTTGCTGTCATTGTTGTTGTTATTGGTTGGCAAGATAATAACCAAACTGAGACGACGAAGAAGAAGAAGAAAGCAGCAAGCACAACCAGAAAAAGTGTCTGTCTGTCTGCTTGGTCTGGTCTTATTACGTTTAGAGCAGCCAAAGAAGAGAGTTTGTCAGTTAGCACACAGAGCCTAGTTAAGGCGGTCGGTCGGATTGATGGTGTTGTAAAGCAGCAGCTGAAAGAGGAACAGAAACAAGACAAGAAGGCAATTGCGACACGTCGACAAAGATATTAATTAATAAAAAAATTCAAACATCAGCATACAGGTGAACAACTGACTGACGGCGACTGGTGGTACCGCATAAAATCTCTCTAGAACAGTTGCGAAAAAGCAGTAAAAACAATAATTTAGCAAAACATCCACACACACACACACACGTAGCCAAGATGCGTATTAGCAATATACGCAATGGACGCATTTGCCGTTTGGCATTGGTGCTAACACTCTTGCCACTTCTATATTTGTTGATCACATGGAGTGATGGCCACAAACGGGTGCAGGAGGTATATCAGGCTAAATTTGGTACGGGACGTCGTCACTATCAACGTTTAGAGGGTAGGCCCAAAGAAATACCGGTTTTGGTAGAAGGTAAGTCAATGGCTGAAAAAATGCAACAACAACAAAAACATACATAAATAATTAAACAATTACTCATTTCTTGTGTTATTACAGGGTTGGGTAATTTCGAACCCACCAATGTTGAAGACCGTGTAGGTCCCGGCGAAAACGGTGAAGCTTATCACCTGCCAGCCCATAAGAAAAACGAGGCAGACGAATCGGAAATGGAATATGGCATGAATATCGCTGCATCCGATGCAATTTCAATGCATCGTAGTGTACGCGATACCCGCCTGGAAGAGTGTAAACATTGGAATTATCCATATGATTTACCAAAGACCAGTGTTATCATTGTCTTTCACAATGAAGGCTTTTCAGTGCTACTGCGAACCGTCCATTCGGTCATAGACCGTACACCAAAACATATTCTACATGAAATTATATTGGTCGATGATTATTCGGACAAAAAGAATTTGGGTGAAGAGCTGGAGAGTTACATTAAACAATTTAATGGTTTGGTGCGTTTGATACGCAACAAGGAGCGAGAAGGTTTAATTCGTACGAGATCGCGTGGTGCCAAGGAAGCAACAGGTGAGTGAGATATGTTGTGAAATACGTTCATAGTTTTTTGTTAATCAATTTTGGAATATACCGGAGAAGTGTTTCTTCAAATCGGATAAGATTTTAATTTGTCATAGAACATGGTACCTGCGATAAGATATTGTCTTTCAAATGAACTGAAAATGCTCGCATTCACTTGAATAGAATATCAGAAAGGGGGGAAACGATTTTAAAAAGGCGTTACATTTATATGTAGGTATATTGAGAGTTTTTAAAATTAACAGCCTGTTTTTGTAAAATTCGAAACGAAACAATTCGAACGAATTACTACCAAACCTTTATTTATGTAAAAAAATGTTTCTTGATTCAAAACAAAAATAAATGACATATTTTTCAAAACCAAGGAGTTTGGTCGTGTCGTAAGTCACTCGAATTCATTCGTTTAGAATTTTACAAAAACGGGCTGTAAGTATCCAAACCGAACACGGATCTGTACTACAGCAAATTATTTTTGAAAATGTGGTTAAAAATTTGAAAATTCCAGTGACGTTAAATGAGACTTCAAATTGGTTCTTAGAAATTAGATAATGTCGCTTCTTATGTTGATCTTGTTGTCATATTAGATGCGGAATTGCGTTTTAACTTACATATCGAGTATTGTGTTAATAAAGCGAAATATTTACTAGGGTTCATAAAACGATGGTCTAAGGACTTTGACGACCCTTATGTGACAAAACGTTCATTTGTTAGTCTGGTTAGAATGACTATATGTCACCAGTCCTGAGATTTGATGTAGATTTCGTTATTCCTAGTAGATACGACTGGAACCGGAGTAATCCTCCTCTGGACGGCATGGCTTACTATACAGACAGGCTGGCGTTTACTGCGAAAGGCTAGGCCTTGAGCTTACCTACAAGCTGGATATCAACTGTAGTTTTTTCCATGCTGAAATCTTTGCAATTTGGAAGGCAGCGGAATTGATAAAAAAATCTGGATGCAGAGATCGTTGAACCGGTGACAACCTTTATGGATACTCAAGCGGCTCTTAAAGCCATCAAATCCTGTTACATAAAATCTGAGGCCGTCCTCAAGTGTAGAAGAGTTTTCGAAGAACTTACTTACAGCTATTGGCTGTGTTGGGTACCAGGATACCGTAACGTCATGGTTAATGAAAGAACAGACGAATTAGCTAGACGAAGATCTCAATCTGCAGATCTAGCAATTGATGGCTCTATCAAAGTACCCATATGATACCTTTATCGGAGCTTTGAGGCGTTCTTGAACGAAAGAGTCTATGAACTTTCGCACAACAAACCTAGGTGCAATATGGCAATATCTATTTGTGGCCGACTCTGTCTACTAAAAGGACACACAGGAATCATTACTGGTCATTGCAATATCAGGGCCTTTAGTTTCTTCTCAACAACGGAACCTGCACTAATCTACAGCATAATTAGAAACCTAAAGTGGTTGGGAAAGTGCAACCTTGACACGTAATATATCTTCTGTCCGATATTTATTAAATATTTAATGTATTGGGACAAAATGTTTATGGAGTGAAGTTTCTGTAGTGTAGCCGGAGATTCCATATGTCCATAGAGAACATCTTAAATCCACTTTTTATACTTTTTAGATAGTAATTTATCCTCCTCATCAGTAAATTGATACATAAAGGAATAATCAAACAATATCAACAAAATATCGACCAGCAGCAGTTTCAAATCCAAATTAGTGATTCTTTGAATGTTATTATTTAAATGTCGTCTTAAACAAACAATTAAAAAAGTTGTTCCAATTAATACATGAAGACCATGGAATCCTGTTGCTATAAAAAAGTAGTACCCTAAACTGAGTCAGCAATTGTGAATGGAGTTTCAATATATTCGTAAGCTTGAAGAATTGTGAAATAAAATACTAATAAGACTGTAGAGAATAAACCTTGAGTAGTTTGAGAATGATTACCTTCCATTAAATTGCAAGTAACAGTAATTCCTGATATTACTAAAATTACAGTATTTAACAAAGGAATTTGAAATGGATTAAAAGCAGATTTCCTAAGAAAAATAATGAATTATCATATCGATGGAATCACTCTACAATAACAGCTACTGTTGTTATAGCTATTAGAATAATTAGAACTTCTTCATATTGTACACCAGGGATTTTTCTTTAATAGAACGCAGTTCGATCCTCTTGCTATGAAAAAATAGAACTCTAAACAGTGTCAGCAATTGTGATTGAAACTTCAATATAATTGTAAGCTTGAATAATTGTGATTTAAACTCCTAATAAAATTGTAAAGACTAAAACTTGAGTAGAATGAGAATGATTTCCTTCCATTAAACTATGATAAGCTCAAGTAACAGTAATTCCTGAAATTAGTAAAATTCAATTAAAATTACATTAAAGAACATTGTATTACTCCCATAGAACAGTATTCTGTCTTCTTCCCATAGAAAACCATTCCATATTCTCTTAACAACAATTCTCTTTTTACATAAGCCCTATAAATTGTGTTATTGAGGATTAATATTTCCCCGTCTAGTAACGAAAATCGAGTATGAAGTATTTTTCTCATAGAAAACCATTAGATCTTCTCAGAAAATAAATAAATATTTTTGATTCTCCTTCCTAAGATTCATAATAATTTTTCCTTTTCTCTTTTCCAGGTGAAGTAATTGTCTTCCTTGATGCCCATTGTGAAGTGAACACAAATTGGCTGCCACCTTTGCTGGCACCCATATATCGTGATCGCACTGTGATGACTGTGCCCATCATTGATGGCATCGATTATAAAACATTTGAATATCGTTCCGTCTACGGCAGTGAAAATCATTTCCGTGGCATCTTTGAATGGGGTATGTTGTATAAGGAAAATGAAGTCCCCAAACGTGAACAACGTCGTCGTCAACACAACTCTGAACCATATCGCAGTCCTACACATGCTGGTGGTCTCTTTGCCATTAATCGTGAATACTTTTTGGAGCTTGGTGCCTATGATCCGGGTCTTTTGGTATGGGGTGGTGAAAATTTCGAATTAAGTTTTAAAATTTGGCAATGTGGTGGCAGTATTGAATGGGTTCCATGCTCACATGTCGGTCATGTTTATCGTGGTTTCATGCCTTACAACTTTGGTAAGCTGGCCAGTAAAAAGAAGGGTCCCCTTATTACCATCAATTATAAACGTGTCATTGAAACATGGTTCGATGAGACACACAAAGAATATTTTTATACCCGTGAACCATTGGCTAGATATTTGGATATGGGTGATATCAGCGAACAGTTGGCATTGAAGAAGCGTCTTAACTGTAAATCATTCCAATGGTATATGGATAATATTGCCTATGATGTTTATGATAAATTCCCAGCTCTGCCGGCTAATTTGCATTGGGGTGAATTGAGGTCAGTGGCAACGGAAAATTGTCTCGACTCGATGGGCCATCAACCACCCGCAATTATGGGTCTATCCCATTGTCATGGCGGTGGTAATAATCAGTTGATACGTCTGAATGCTGCCGGACAATTGGGTGTTGGTGAACGTTGTGTTGAAGCCGATCGTCAAGGTATTAAGCTGGCCGTATGCCGTTTGGGTACCACCGATGGCCCCTGGAGTTACGACGAGACAAGTAAACATTTATTGCATCGAGCTCATCGGAAATGTGTTGCTGTACATCCCACCACACAGCAGTTATTCTTGGCACACTGTGATGTTAATGATGGCTATCAACAATGGTATTTTAAACCAATTAAACCTAACTATTAGACAATCATTGTAACGGGGAGCGGGAAGTGAAGATGTAGGTGTAGTGAGACTGGTGGTTATACATATTAGATGAAGAGGATGGAGGTGATTTAAACGATGTTGTGTAAGGGTAAGGAAAGAAATGTTATTTTTTTCTTCTTTTCATTTTGTTTTGTTAAATGTCAAAGATGAGTGAGTGAGGAGTGTGTGTGTGCTTAGGGGTTTTATTAATATTGTCGAATACTGCAGTTGCTTAAATATTTATGCAAATGCTTTGCTGCCAGTTTGTTGTTATTAGAATAATTGCTATAACTACGCCGCTTTGTAACGGTAGTTTATATTGTTATTACATTGTGTATAATTTGTTTTTCAAGCAGATGATAATTAGATGGGCATTTTGAGGTAATCAATTTAAGTTTTCGGACGGATTTTTTTTTAGAAATGATTTGCAGTTTTCATGCACTTAGACGTCTGAACTCTATGCGATAATTAAAAACGGAAACAGTTTTTTTTATATTAAAGTTGTGCTAAAATGATTTTGTGTTTTCAGATATATTATAATATAGAGTGAGGGCATAGAAAAAATTTTGGAGATTATATCAGAAGTTCAAGTAGCTTCCTCAGTTGTAGTTACCGGGCATAGATATTTCCCTGCTTTATACCTTAGAGGTTTCCTTCCCCATTTATAAATACATCCGTACCCTCGAATAGATCTACGAAATTCCAATAGGATTTATATATCTCAGAATACCATTAGGACTTTCTTTCATAGACGGAACCTTATATCAATAGAATAGTAGAACCCTAAACTGTGTCAGCAATTGTGAATGGAGCTTGAATATATTGAGAATGATTACCTTCATTTGAGAATGATTACCTTCATTTAAACTATGGTGAGCTCAAGTAACAGTAATTCCTGAAGTTAGTAAAAGGAATTTGAAATGGATTAAAATGATTAATTCCTATTGGAGGAGGTCATATAGAGCTCCATATTCAATAGAAGGAGATAAACAATTTTGGGCGACCATTAAACATTGGTTGGGCGCCATTTTGTTAACAAATATAAATCACCTCGTGTCTCATCTTGTCCATGGAGGGTGCATGAAAGATAATGTTAAATAGTTTAGTTCTATTAACCAATGTTGGGCGCCATTTCGTAATTTGTAAAATCTCTCAGTTTTTTTGGCCTAGTAAAATTTGATTGGGCTCCATTTCATGTAAATTCATAATAAAACATTCGTTCCATAAGCCGAGCTTAGAAAAGATTTCCAGGCGCGTCGGTCTTTTGCACAGTTTTTCCAATTCGAAAGACTATTTTCGGCAATGTTGTCGACTTGATCTTTCCATCGTATTTGTGGCCATCGTATTTGTGAAATGTCAAGGTAGATATATTTTTAGCTCACAAACACAGACACACTCATCTTAAAATTTTGTAGAATAAAAATACAATTTTCCCCCTCTTATTCCCTTACCAACATCGTTAAGAAATTTACAAAAATATTTGAAAAACAAAAAGAATACAAAGAATGAAACTCTTAAACGGCCTATAAAATAATTTTATAAGCAATATATCTATTAGGAAATTATACATAGGAAATATATACATACAAACATACATAGATATATAGGAAAACAAAGAACGAAGTAAAATAAAATGAGAACAGGATATTGTTAGTGAGAAAAAGTCTCGAAATTCACACAACAACACAAACAAAAATAAAACAGAACAAAACAAAACTATTTTTTGGGGTTTCAAAACTAATGAACACAGATCTTTTGGCTTTTTCTAAAAAAGCAAAAGATTTAAAAAAGGAAACAGAAGAAAACACAGAGGCATGTTATTTACAAAAACCAATTAAAGGAAATAAAGTAAAAGGAAAGGAATAAAACCTACTAATTGTTGAGTATAAAAAAAAATAACAATCATCATTAAAGAAAATAAAATAAAAAATATACACGAAAACCTAATATCGTATAAGTGAATGTGAATTTAAAACAAAAAATCAAAATATTTTTTATTCCAGTTTTTTTTTTAATTTTGAATATTTTTTTGTAGTTGATAATATTGATATATTTTATAATTTAATTAATTTTTAATACACACATAATATAATACTTGCATACATTGCCAATCTCTTTAGAAGAAGAAAAATAAGAAACTTATACAAAAATGATATTTTGTTTAAATCTATATATCTTCCATTTTTTTATTCTATATATATATATATATATATATATTTTTTTTATTTTTTCTTTCACTCTCTCAACTTGTTATTTGTGATAAATATTTGCTCTATAAAATAAAAAAATAAATTCTCTATTTTATACACATAAATTTACTATTTCTATTGAACACACGATGACTACTACTATTATTTTATAAGCTTTTAACTTGTCTAATTTTTAAGATTTTTAATAAAAAAGGAAAATATTTAATTTCTAAAACAAATAAAAAATAGAAAGATATTAAGTCTGAAACAAAAAATAAATATTAAACAATAAATATTGGATAAACAATTTTTCAGAAGATTTGTGTATTTTTTTACAAAGGCCTGGATTTTTTAAAGAATATTTTTTCAGGGACCACCTACACAAGGCGTGGATTTTTTAAAGAATATTTTTTCAGGGACCTACACAAGGCGTGGATTTTTTAAAGAATATTTTGCCGGCAAGCCTACACAAGGCGTGGATTTTTTAAAGAATATTTTTTCAGGGACCTACACAAGGCGTGGATTTTTTAAAGAATATTTTTTCAGGGACCACCTACACAAGGCGTGGATTTTTTAAAGAATATTTTTTCAGGGACCACCTACACACTCTGGTTGGTGAACTCTCTGAATCCTTACCAGTTGGTTTTCCTATGGTTAAGGAAGGGATGACGAAATCGGGCGGTCTGCTAATGGAGGTGATTATGGGGAGGTGGTCTGAGCCAAGAGAAATGATAGGCTGCCAGCTGACGTCATTTATCAGACTTGGTGACACAATGTTTATGTCTGGCGAACTGTGACACTCTCCCCTTTTTCTGGTGGGGGCATCCTCATTTACACTGCAGAACGTGAAGCTATCGATTTGCTCTGCCAGCACTATTCCCCTCTGGTCATTACATAGGACGGAATGGTGGGCATTGAAATCCCCTAGCACCAGACGGTTATTGCCCTCCAATTGAAAACTAATGTTGGGCAAATAGCGCGGTTCACAGCTATCGGCAGTATGTACACGTTAAGTACCTCTACCTCGGCAGTACCACATTTAACCCCATACATTCCATGTATGGGTCACTAGATTCAAGCGAGATAGGCCAGTATTGAACTGAGTGGTGCATAAGGAATGCTAGGCCTCCACCCCCACTTCTGATGCGATCCTTCCTCATAACGTTGTAACCATCACAACGCTATAGGCTACAATGTTCATTGAGCTTGGTTTCCTGCACCGCCGCGACCACTATCTCATCTATTTTTCCTCGAAGACCGTTGCAATTAAATTGCAGAAACGATGCACTTTCAGGGGTGGGAACAGCAACGTGTGGTGTTAAGAGCTGCATACTTGGTTGCTGTTGAGGAGACTGAGGTGGAGTTCCGTACTCCGAAGAAAAAGATGTCGTAGACGAAGACTCGCTGGGGATTGTTCAGTCGCATCACGAGGCAACGTAATCCCTTTTGGATGTAATCTCGCAACCGGGCAACCCGGAACAATTCCTGAAGTGCACCCATTACATCTCACCGACACTGACCTGTGGTGAATGATGTTCTGGCAAACCGGACAGAACCACGGAATATACCGGAGTGTACCGGTATTCACCAGAATCGTGCAGTTATTTCATGCTCGGTGCGGATTGATAAGATTGTGCCGCGTGTGCATTTGATTATCCGAGGTTTTGTAAAGCCTGATTAACGTCAACCAATCGAAACCCCCTTTTATATTAATCAGCAATAATGTAATTATTTTATAGGCGGTATAATCTAAATGCATAAAAAATGGGATTTTTATTAATTAATCCAACTTCAGAACAATTTTGAAATTTTTTAGGAATGCATTAATCTTAAATGGCATACGCCATTTATAACTTTTTTATAATAAAAATATCACGCTAAAAATAGTCCAGAAAAACGCAAAATTTCTTAGATAAGATTGTTTTTGTTTTTGGTAATAAATTTAAACATTTCCATAAATAAAAATTTTTGAGTCTAAATATAGAAATTATTTATGAAAGGGCTATTCAAACGGGTAAATAAATTACAAAAAGTGGTGCTTAATATTTTTTTGCTTGCAATAAAATAATAAATTTTGAAGAAGTACTTCCCCGACTGTTCACCCACCCATCTGAGAATTGTTTATCTGGAAGCAAATTCTCATGAAATGATTAACTATTTTTATTTTAAAATAAAGAAATAGTTGTTACTATACCCATTCCTCCCGGGACGCTAGAAGTTTTGACAAGACGATTGTATTTTGAAAGGGAGGAAAAAACATGTCAGGAATTTAAATTTGTTGATTTCACGATAATACTGTCACTCTTGAATTGCTCCACTTGAATTGTGGATACACTTCAAGCGGTTAATAAATTTAGTCTAAAAATAAAAATTATCGCATTAGAAAAATCTGCTTTGTGACGAATGTGCTGGACACTTGTTGCTGATTACTGTTATGGGAACACTGTGTGAAACTCATTTGGTATTTTAAATTAGAAAATGAAATAATTAAATTGACGTAGATTTTTTAATGAATACTTTTTCCAGGCCTAGAAAAGGTTTGGATATTTTAAAGAATATTTGGATATTTTAAAGAAAAGGCGTGGACTTAAAGGCATGGATTTTTAAAAGAATATTTTTTTCTGGGACCTACACAAGGCGTGGAGTTTTTAAAGAATATTTTTTCAGGCAGCTACACAAGTAGAGTTGGGTAGTTCTGGAACGAACTAGTTCATTGGAACTATTCCGAGAAAGGAACGATCGGAACTAGTTCCAGCTCTTTAATTAATATAGTTCCTTCTTCTGATCTCGTTCCTTTTTGATCTCGTTTTTTCTTTTCCTTTTTTTTCTCGTTCTTTGT